CTACGGCCGACGCCGCTGCTGCCGGTGCGTCGCGCTCCCTCCTCGTTCTCGCGCGAAGACTGACAGTGTTGAGTGCGTGCAGCCGCCTCGTCCAAGGCTGCTGCCGACGCTGCGTGGGCTGCGTCCTCCTCGTCCTCCAAGGCCGCAGCCGACGCCGCCTGGGCCGCCTCGTCCTCGTCGTCCGCCGCTGCTGCAGCAGCTGGTTCGTCCCCTCTTCCACCTCCCTCCTCTTCCTTTCGACTCGAGCTGACCTGTATGCGGAACAGCCTCGTCAAAGTCTGCCGCTGCTGCTGCTGCTGCTGCTGCGAGCTCGAAGGCTGCTGCGGACGCCGCCTGGGCCGCTTCGTCGTCCTCGTCCGCCGCCGCCGCCGCCGCCGGTCCGTCCCCTCCCCTTCCCTCTCACCTCCTCGCTCTCACACTAACCCTCGCACCCACAGCCTCCTCCAAAGCCGCCGCCGCCGCCAGCCCCGCCCCTACGAAAGTAGCCGACACCTCGTCCGGGTCCAACTTGTCCCTCCTCGCGCAATCGGGCGTCAAGGGCTTCCTCGGGACCAACACGAACGCCATCTTGAGTTGGTACCACACGAATGCGGCGAGTGATTCGACCAACGGTACGTCCTGCGTCTTTGGCGAGGTAAGGTTTGGCGGAGGGCGAGGAGGGACTTGGCGACGCCTTGGCTTCGCAGCTGATCATGGTATGGCTTCTCCTGCGCAGGACATAGTTGGTGCCAATTCCCGTACGATGTACGTATCAATCGCATTCCCCGAAAAACGGCGTTTCGGGACTTCGAACGAGCTTGGCGAGGACCCCGAGGCTGACCTTCTCTTCCTCCGCCTCCTCCTCCGCAGGACTCGGTCCCGGGCGTCGCGCCTTCGCTCAAGACGATGCTCAACAACTTTGGAGGTGACTACCAGGCTGGTGAGTTGCGAATGTGGCGTCGTCGACGTCGTCGGGAAAGTCTGAGCCAAAGTTGACCTTTCCCCTTTCCTCCTTCCTCTCCCGCAGCCGCTACCGCTTACTGCGGTCTCGAGATGGTCGTCACTACGCCGGACGGCAAGAGCGCGACCCTCTACATCGCCGACGCGTTCGACGACACCTGGGTCCGCACTCCTTCGTCCCTCGACGTCATTTACGGCTCGTTGTGCGTACTCCCATGCTTCGCTTAGGCTCGATCGAGTACTTGCTGACCTGAGCGTGTCGTGCAGCGCCCAGCTCTTTGGCTCACAGACCAACAACAAGAATGATGTCGTCCAAGGCGCCACAGTACGTTCTACTCCACCCGTGGGCCACATGAACGTCAGTCTGACATTTCCGTCGCTCCTGCGCGCAGTGGAAGTTCACCGGCAACCGCAACTCGAAGTACGCCTTCAAGTCGACGACCTCGCTCTCCTAGGCGGAACGGACCCTTTTCACTTCTTACGACTCTCGCGCCTCCCGCCTGCTTCTACTGTTCATGTCGCTCGCATTTACCGTCGTTCCATTTCGTACCTTCCATCTCCCGCGCCCGCCGCCCCTCTCTTCACCTTCTCGCCAAAACTCTTCTCGCCTCGCCGTCCCAAGCGGACGCTGTATCCCCACTCCCTCCTCCCGCTTTTCGTTCTTTCACTCTCTTTCGTTCTCGCTTCTCCTTTTTGGCGGCGGCGCGCCTTTCTTGCGGGATTGGAGCACGCTGCGCGTTCAACTCCTTCCCTGCCTTCCCCTCCCTCCCCTGACCTCCTCGTCGCACCCTTCCATTTTCTTGCACGGCAATTCTTTGACGATGTTTCCGCGCTGTCTGAGAACGTCCATTGTAAGCGAAAACTCAGCTACAAGACAGCGGAGTGGTGGTCGCCGACCCCTGCTCCTCCTCCTCCTCCCCCTTATCGCTCAGGAGCCCCGCTCCACCTTGAACCGCCCCAGCACACTCTCACAGCTCACACAAAGATGTCCTTCTCCGACCTCACCCGCTCCTACACCACCTTCCCCTCCCTCTCACCCACCTTCACGTCATCCCCCCGTCCCTCGCCCATCTCGCCCTCTTCGACTGCACAGACGGGCGCGAGCAACATCCCGGGGTATAGCATCGCGGCGGGGGAGACGACGCGTGCGCCCAGTGCGAGTGCGGTCGTGGGGTCGGCGAGTGCGGCACAGGGAGGAGGGAGGGTGGATGAGGGATTGGCGCTCGGGTTGGGACTCGGGTTGGGACTTGCGGCGCTGGTTGCTGTGCTCGTGCGTCCGCTCTCTCCCCGACTTGTTCAGCTGCGCTCACGGATGTTCTCCCGCAGGCCGCCGTCTTCGTTGTTCGCCAACGCAAGGCGCAGAGGGAGGAATTCGACAGGCGCGCCGAGGGGATCAAGGCTACGATGAGCCAGGTGCAGGAGAGGGAGAGGGAGCGGCAGTAGGCGGGGAATGAGGTTTGTCGTTGCATCTCGAGGACGGGGAGGAGGAGACTGACTTTCGCTGCGGCGGGACAGGCTTGTTCGACGCTTGTACACACGACTATACACCTTCTCGCTACGCTTGAATGCCCTCCGCCCCTCCAGGTGCGCAGAGCAGCGTCTGCGATTCTTTCTCAGAACTTGCTCTCCTAACGTCTCTCCTTCGGCGCAGCTCCCCCTTCCCGCTATCTGCTCTCACGCACGCACACATCACCTCTGTTCATAGCTTTCTCACGCACCCACGCCTGCTTGCTGTACCCTGCCCTTCTGCTGTCGTTGTCCATACATTCATCAGCCCTCTCTTCGTTCCCTCCCCTGTCGTTCTCGCTTTTGCAGCTTCTCGTTCTTCGCAATGCCCACGCGCGTCGTTTCCTTAGCCCGGCTGGCTCGCGTGCAGCGCTCCAAGAGGTGGCTTGCCCATCAACCGAGACCGGCGACAAAGGTTGGTGCGGGCCGTCGCAGAATCTTCGTCGCCGGGCGTCCTCGCCTCGCCTCGAGTCGACTCGCTGGACCGGTCGACCGCGACGACGCGACTGTCTTGCGGAGACGCCGGCGCGCAGGGAAACGCAGCCTGTCGCAGCAGCGGAGGGTCGACCACTTCGAGGCTTGCTCACCGTTCAGGAAGGTCGCCGTCGGTCTCGACGGCGAACAACGCTGCAACCGGCGCTCTTTCCGGTTCCTCTCGAATGCAATTCTCGCGTCGATTGATCCCGCAGCCGCAATCGACCGCCGCGTCCTTCCCAGCCGGAACGGCTTTTTGTGCGGCGACCCTCGTCCTGTCGCGTCCCCTCCTGCTCTCCTCTCTCTCTTCCCTACGCTCCTTTGGCTCGTCGACTCCGTTGTTCCTTCCGTCTCTTCCCGCCCCAGCCTCTTCGCTTTCCGCCAGACTCGTCTCCGTCGCGACCTTCTCTCTTCATCGACCTTTGACCCAGCCCCTCGCCGAACGCGTTCCCTTCACCCTCCTTCGACGTCCAGCTCGCTCTTCCGCCTTTACGATGCACTTCGCTTTACCCCTCGCCCTCGTCTCGCTCGTCGCGTCCGCCCTCCCGGCTTTCGCTCTTCCGGCAACCAGTGCGTCGCCGTCCTCCGTCTCCACCGCGCGTCTCCCGAAGTTGACTGTCTTGCTTTCGACGCTACAGGCCTCGAGAAGCGCGGCGGTGCCTGCAAGGGCAGCTACCAGTGCCGCTACGTCGCCCGGCCGCAGAACAGCGGGTACCTCTGCAAGGAGGGCCAGTGCACCTACCGTGGGTCCTCCCCTAGCTCTCCCAAGGGTAGCACGAGCTGACGAATGACGTGCAGAGTGCTACCCCGGCTTCCAGGACCTCGGGAACCGCTGCGTCAAGCCTTCGCCGACGACGACGTACTACCAGGCTCCGGCAACGTCTACCACGAGTGAGACGGCCGTCTTCCCGAGCGCCACCTTCGTTCAGGATGCTGTAAAGCAAGCTGGTGTGACGGGCTTTTCGGGGAACAACTCGAGTGAGTCGATGCCGTCGTTTCCGGATCTTGGACCCGCTTACCCTTCCTGCTCGCTCAGACGCCATCCTCTCGTGGTTCCGGACCAACAACAGCGCCGATTCTACCAACGGACACTCCTGGTGTGGCAGCGTGTATCGCGTTCGTGCAGTTCAGCGTTTACCTCCGCGCTTCCGTCCTTAACCTCTCGCCTTCACCAGGACGACGTCCCTGGCTTCGCTCCTTCCCTCAAGACCATGCTCGCCAACTTTAACGGCTCGTACGAGGCTGGTGAGTCTCGCGGCGAACGCGGACCGAGCATGAGGAGACCCAGAAGCTGACCTTCCTCGTTCTCCCCTCCCTGCAGCCGCCACCGCCTACTGCGGTCTCGAAGCGGTCATCACCACTCCCGCTGGCCGCAACGCAACGCTCTACATCGTCGACGCCTTCGACGACACCTGGGTCCGGACGCCCTCGTCGCTCGACGTCGTCGTTGGCAGCTTCCCGCTCCTCTTTGGCTTCAACACAACCAACAAGCTCGACGTCGTTCAGGGCGCAGAGTGGTACTTGACTGGACGCCGCAATGCGCGGTATGCTTTCAAGGGCCCTGGCGCTGTCGGTCTCTAGACGACTACAACTCTCCGTCATACACGGCTGTCCTCCTCTCTTTGGGTTCGCGGGTCGGGAAAGACGCTGGTCGTCTTCCCTTTGACGTTTCCATCGTCCTCCTCCTCCTTCACTAGCTGTTGTTGTGGCCGTCTCTTTTTCCGTGGGATGTTCGGTTTCTTCTCCTCCCTCCTCGCAAAAATAGCCCCAACTCGCATCTTGCAACGGGGACCATCGTTCGCACGCACTCTGTCTCTCGCCGGCGAGGACACCGAGCGAGGAGGGACAGATATATACGGGTATCGAGTGCGAACGAGCAGAGAACTGACGCGGGAAGAGAGCAAGGGAGCTAGTTCTACAGCGACACGCCACCCACAACTCCTTCCTACTACTCTCACACCTCCTCTACATGCCGTAACGAATCCACCCCACCGCCATCACGCCCGACGAGTCCACCACCTCCTCTTCTCGCCTTCTCCTCCCTCGAGCGCCTTCTCACCCTCCACCTCGCTCCCACTCGCGCTCGGTCCAGCCTCGAGTCCCTCCTGCGCCACTTCTTGCTCGGGAAAGAGTCGCGCGGATCGCGCGTGAGGGACGTAGTAGCCCGGGTAGGAGACGCAGAAGATTAGAGCGGCGATGACGATCGGGCCGAATTCGAGGCCGTACTGCGCTCGACCACACTCATCAGCTCGAGTAAGTCTCAAGGAGGAGGAGAGGGAAGGGGCGCACGAAGTAGCCCTCGCGACTCAACAAGTACCCCTGGCCACCTCCAGAACCAGTACCGAATTCGATCGTGCGGAAGACTCCGCGCACGAGGACGCAGACTGAGCCGGCGTAGAGGGTGAAGAGGCAGTGTGACCACGGGCCTGCGGGGACGCCGGCGCGACGCGCGCGGGTGTGGTCTGCGCGAGGGGAGGGGTGAGCACGGAAGGGGAGGAGGAGGGAGAGAAGGGGACTGACAGATACCGGCGAAGATGGCGAAGATGCCGAGGCCGATGATCTGCAGCGTCGCGAGGGTCGTTAGCCTTGCAGAAAGACGGCGAGGCCGAACGAACGACGCACCTGGATGCAGAAACCGACGCAGAGAATCGCCTTGGCAGCGGGGTAGATCTTCGTATTATCGCTCGAGTACAACGACCCTCCGGCGCCCTGGACAACGAAGGACTATGTCCCAACCTTGATCAGCTCGAGAACTCGCGAGGAAGGGGGCAAGGGGTACGCACGACGATATCTTGCGTGACAAAGATGAAGGTGACCCATTTGCTCGAGACGGGCGTCCAGCGCTCGCCGACGTAGGTGATGATGCGGCCGAAGCACACTGCAGGAAGCGAGAGAGGAAGGTTAGCGCGGCTTTCTCTGGCGACATCAAGGAGGGAGGCGGGACGTACTGTCTGCTCGCGAGAGTCGCATAAGGCGAGGGAGGCGAGCGCAATCAGCGTGAGATGGAAGCATGAGAGGAAGCGGCGGAACGCACAGTACGACGCGCACATGAGCGCAGGCGACAAGATCAAGAACAGCCTGTTCGTCGTAGCCACATCTCCGTCAGCCCGTCTGCGAGGTGGTGAGGGAAACTTATGAGCAACTCGCTCCTGAAGGAGATACCAGGTCAACGCTGCGCCGCGACCGCGCAGGTGGTCTGCCGACACGCGGCGGAACACATAGCCGAGGCATTCTCCAATCATAGCAATCACGAAGGGGATCATCTGCTCCACCTCTGATCAGCACACGCCTCAAGCAAGGGAAGGGAGAGGGAGGAAGAGGGACGGGTACGCACATACCACGTCCGCCTCTTCATGGTGAGGAAGAGCTGGACGACGAATGCGGCTGCGAAGAGTCCGATGCCCATGTAGGCGAGGTCGTACCGCGGACGGTAGGCGTAGTAGGTCCAGTCGTCGCCGGCTGCCATCGTTCGAAGCGGTTTGAGGGTGAGGAAGAGGGTGGCGAGGGTGGACTGTAGGGCATCCTCTTTGTGTCAGCGGCTGTGAGAGCGGTCAAACGCGACCGAGGACGCACCTGATGGACGATATGAAGCGAGGTAACAGCAGCCAAGGGGAAGCGGCGAGAGAAGGATGAGAGGACGGCGGTCAAGCGTCGATGGCGAGCTCCGGCGGGTGCGATGGGTTGCTAGGGTAGTTTGGTGACGCTCGATAGACTATCAGGCGCGCAGAGAGCGAGGTTGCGCTGGCCGAATGAGCGGATGAGGCGACGGGGGTGTTGGTGATCGGGGGTTGAGCGAGGCGGCGTGGGACTTGTTCAGGCTGTCGGCAGTGAGGGTGGGTGAGTCTCCTGAGTCGCCTGTGCGCTGTCTGAGGGTGTCGCTGTGCGAGAGTGAGCGGTGGGAGCGAGAGAGGGAGGAGCTCGCGAACGAACGACAGCTCGCGGCTTCCGCCCTCGCTTCCGGACAGCGACCTCACTCGCACGATGCACGGTAATGGACAACTTGGTAATACGTGTAATGTACTCACACTATTTGTACTGCTGCCAGCGAGCCAGGCGATGGGGTGGCCGCCGACCTCAACCTCGTCCGCGTCTCCTCCTCGCCCGCTCACAACTCGCTCACACGCACAACTCGCTTGGACTGCCCAATTCGGCTGCTCAGACACTTGCTACAGCTGCTGGACACGCACACAGATTCGCGCGAACCACAACGGACCGCGCGCGAGCTCGACAGACGCCCATCTCGTCCGCGTCGCTCAACCTCACAGCGACCCCCGCCCACACCGCCATCGTAGCGCGCGCAGGAGCGTGCAGGCGCGTACGATCACACTCTCACAGCGACTGCCGCAGCACCACACCCATCAAACCGCTTTAAGGCGGCACCCACTCGACCAAAACATGCCCCCCACCGCCTCATCCTCCTCGACACTCTTCCTCGCTCCCTCGCGGCGGCAAACCTTCCACAAATCCCGCAAAGCCGCTTCGACAAAACACCTCAACTGGCCTTACCCTCTCTCTGGTGCGGCGGCAAAGTCTTCGTCGATCCACCCTGACAGGCTCGTCGAAGCGGGGTTCTACTCGACGCCTATTGATGACGACCCGACTGTGACGACGTGTTTCGCGTGCGGAGTCGTGGTGGGTATGTGGGAGGAGGGAGAGGATGCATTGTTTCGCCATGAAGCGGCGGCTGAGGAGGCGGGGATTAGGTGTCCGTTTGCGACGGTGCGGCGACATGGATGGGGCGAAGAGGGCGTCGATGCGCCTGGACGGGAGAGGGAGAGTTGGGACGAGTGCTGGGGCGAGGAAGGGGAGTGGCATCCCCGCGGTGAGAGGATGAACGAGGCGAGGAGGGGGACGTTCGATGTCGGCTGGCCGTACGACGATGACGGCGATGGCGTTCCTACGCGCGATGAGGTGCGTTGGCGCTTGCACTGTTCTTCCTTCACCCCGAACATCGCTCACCCGCTCGTCGCGCGCAGATCGCAGCAGCAGGCTGGTCCTTCCGACCCGGCCCAACCGCCGAATCAGCCGACCAATGCGCCTGCATCTACTGCGGCCGGACAGTCGAAGGATGGGAAGCGGGCGACGATCCCATGTGCGTTCCACACCCCCCTTCTATCGAGGCGATTGAGCGAGCTGATGGTTTTGGATGACTGGAACAGCGCCCTGCATAAGCGGAAGGTCGGCTTGAGATGTCCATTCTTCCTCGCCGACGACCCGAAGCCCAAGTCAACTTCGACGCCCGCCTCGACGAGCACGAGCGCGAGCAGCAAGTCGAAGCGTGGGAAGAAGGCTTCGACGGCACCTTCAACCGCCAGCGACGCCGCTGCGAGTCTGAAGAAGTCCACGCGCGGTAGGGTGCCGAAGGTTGTCGAGCAGGAAGAGCCAGTAGAGGACGACGCGCCCGCGGCGACCGAAACGACGGAAGAGTCTGAGCCTGTCAAGCTGCCGACGCGGCAGTCTGCGCGCAAGGGCAAGACTGCGGCGAAAGGCAAGGCGAAGAAGAGTAAGGTTGCGAGTACGCCGGCACAGTCGGATGTTGAGGAGGAGCTGGAGCGGGAGGAGGAGGAGGTTGTCGAGGAACCTGCGCCTGTAGCGAAGAAGTGCGTCCTTCTCACCCTTTCGCTACACCGTGTCGAGTTCGAGCTGATAGTGTTGTGCGAGCAGGTCCACCCGCTCTCGAGCCGCCTCAAACGCCTCAACCACCTCATCCGCCATGCCCCCTCCGCGCGCTGCTGCACTCTCCCGATCCGTCCGAGGCCGCAAGCCAGTCGACGAGTCGGACGTGGAAGTCGCCGCGGCGCCGAAGTTGAAAAAGTCGACGAGGGGGAAGAAGGCGCCTGAACCTGAGCCCGAACCTGAGGCTGAGGTTGAGCAGGAGCTGGAGCAGGAGGAGGCGGACGAGTCGATCGCCCAGTTGGCGGCGATCGCGAATGCCGCGCTTGAGCTCCAAGACGCAGAGGTCGGGGTGGAGGAGGTCAAGGAGAAGCCGAAGCCGGCGAAGGGGAAGAAGGCTGCTGCGGCGTCGAAGAGTAAGACGCTTGCGGCCAAGAAGCAGAAGGAGGAGGTCGAGCAGGTCGAAGACGTCGAGATGCAGCAGGAGGAGCAAGAGCGGGCGGAGGAGCAGCGACTCACCAAGCCTCGGTCGAAGGAGGCCGCTCCGCCCGTCGTGGCTGCTGTCCCATCAGCTGCTTCGACGTCGGCGACGGCTGCCGCCCCAGCGCGCTCGCCGCTCTCGCCTACTGTCTCGCCTACTTCGCCTTCCCGCCCCATCCGCGCCCTTCCCTCCAAGGTCCACGCGTCCAAGTCGCCCTCGACCGCCGCCGTCAAGGCGCCAACCCCGCCTCGACCCGCTTCCGTCGTTCCTCCTGCACCCGTCCTGACGCCCGCTCCCGCTTCTCCCGCCCCAATCTCGACTAAGCCGGCCTCCGCCTCTCCCGCCGTCGACCCGACTCGGCCCTGGACTCCCCCCTCCAACGCCTTCGCCTCCGACCTCCTTTCCCTCCTCCCGCCTCCAACAGACTCCGAACTCTCCACCCTCACCGTCGGCGCCTGGTACACCCTCTGCGCACAGCGGATCCAAGACCGCTTCGAAGCCGAGACGGACGAGTTGCGGCGTGGATTGGAGGCGCGGATCGCGGCGGGCAGAGAGAGGTTGAAGGAGCTGTGTGAGGAGGCGAAGGAGAGGGAGGTCAGGGAGGAGGCGGAGGAGAATAGGCGGAGGAAGGAGAAGGCGAGGGAGAAGAAGCTCGCTGCGGCTGCGGCGGCAGGAGCAGGGGGACGGACCGCCGTCAAGGCTGGTGGTGGGTCGGCGCGCAAGCTGCGGTAGTAGGCGTCGACTTGGACGCGTGTATTCTTCCCCTCGCTCTTCTGCCTCATACCGCATTGGTCTGTCTTCCTTTCGTGTACTCATGTCTCCCCGTTCGCCTTTCTTCCCCTAGACTGTCTCTCTGTTCTCTCTTGCATTGCCCATATCGCGGATACCGTTCCAACGCTGCCTCCTTGCCGTCCTCGCGACTCGGAAAGGTCGACCTCGTACAGCTCACTCAAAGCTGCGAGTCTGAGGATCGACGAGCTCGTCGCAGGAGCTGAGATGGGCCTTTGCACAAAAGCAGCTACTCGCCGCCCAGCCGCGTCCCGCGACCCCAACGATGCTGCGCCTGCTGCTCCCTCGTCGCCGTCGAGCTCCCTCCCGCCGGCGCACCTCCCGTCGTCGTCCTCGCTCTCGCAGCCGCACCAGCCGCACCATCAGCAGGTCGGTACGCCGTTCCCCCTCCGAGGCGGTACGAGCCTGATCCGCCGGTTGAAGAGCCCGGGGCGGCATAGGATGAGGGAACGAGGGGACCGTTGCCGAGGAGGTTGATGAGTGTTTGAGGAGGGGTGAGGAGTGAGCGGACAAGGGCGGGTTGGCGGCCGCCGTTTTGGCGAGGGTAGATCTGCGAGCGTCGGTCGGCTTTGCACGGTGAGCTCCAGAAGGTCTGCCGTGGGCACTCGATGAAGCAAGTTTGAGGACGACCGGCGCACCACGGAGAGAAAGTAGTACGCATGCGCAGCAACCATGCCCGTGAAGGAGCGCAAGACGGCACTCGGTCCGCCGTTCAGGAGGTCCATGCCGAGCATGGCGAAGGGGAAGTAGGGCGCTGGGATGGTGATGATGCCGTAGAGGTTTACTCTGCGAGACGAGGTGGTTAGCGGTAGCTGAAGACCAAGGACGGAGGAGCGGGACAAACTGGTTCGCCGAATGCGTTTGAGCCCACTGCGCGGCGTCAAAGCGAGATCAGCGAATCTGGCCGCGTCGAAGGTCTTCGTGAAGACGCACGAGATGAATGACGGCCATCATGAACGGGTTGAAGAGGAAGGGCGTCTGGAGAGGCGTATTCAGGCCCTGCGGAACGACGAGTTAGCCCAGTCTTCGCATTCGTCACTGCGCTCGACATACGATGATCATCCCGCAGATCAGGATGAATGCCCAGGCTGCGCAGGGGAGGTCAACGCGAGCATCAGACGCAGAAAGGGACCTGAACGCACTCATGTCCGCCAGCCTCCGCTGAAAGTGACCCTCCTCCAACTCGTTCAAGCTCCGGTACAGCATGATCAGACTGAACACAAGATTGAGCCCTCCTCCGCCGAACAAGAACGGCAGGACGAGCCGCTGCAGCTCCCAGTTCTGTGCGATCCGGTGCGGGACGAAGGCGAGGTGGTAAGGGCTGACGAGGTGCAGGAGGGTGGGGAGAGTCGCGCCGAGCACGCCAAAGATCGTGTAGCGTGTAAAGGGAGGGATCTTGCGTAGCTGCGCGGTCATCGAGCGGGAGTTTGTCAGTCCGAGTGATGAGGATGAGGTGGGGAGCGGGAGGACGATGGATGCCACGCCGGTGCGAGTGGAACAGTTGTGTGCAGCTGTGCGGAACTGTTGAGCGCGGTACGCACCTCGTCCATCGTTGCGAGCGAGAGTCGAGTGACGAGTCCGAGGACAAGAAGCGGAACAGCGTCGAAGCGAGGACGTTGTCGTCAATTGTTACGGGTTGCGATGTATGCGAATGCAGAGTTGCGATAGTGCCTGTACAGAGTCTATGCCGGAGCCCCCTTGATCCCCTCGGCTCGTCGCCGCATCCTCTCCCACGCCAACTGCTTCTCTAACCGGTCCTCCTCCGCCTCCTGGTCCAGCTTCGCCTTGAGAGACGCAAAGTATGACAGTTCCTCCTCCTCTGCCTCGTTTGAGGGTGCCGGAGCGTCGGGACCGAGCGGTTCGGCGGAGGGAGCAGGTTGAGCCCAGGATGGGATGGTTGGCCGGTGTGCGTCGAGGAAGCCCGGCAGGCTCTGTCGTACGCCGATTGCAAGCATCTCGAGCTGTGGGAGACACGCGATCGCTTAGCAACCATAGAACGACGGTACGTCAGCAAGCAGGAAGCGAAGGAACCGTCACTCACATCATCCACGCCGAACCACCGCATCAACCCATACACTCCCGCCGAGAACGTCCCCACAGTAATGAGGGTTGCGATACCCAACGCTTTCGCCGCGTACAGCGCCGGATTGAACCCCTCTGGCAGTTCCTGCTTCTCCGCCGTCCCATCGTCGTGCAACTTGTCCAGCCGGTCCACCTCGTCTGCGAACGCTTTTGATGCTGACGTAATTTGCGGATTGGGGAGGAAGTAGGAGGATGCGGGCGGACGGGAGGGGAGAACGGAGACGGGAGCATCGGGAGGAGAAGGCGCAACGAAGGATCGCAAGAGCCGGACCGGTTTCGGCGGGACGAGCGAGTCCGGGTGGAGGAAGGAGGTGGGCAATGGAATGGGTTGCGGCGACGATGCTGCCTCTTCGGCGGGTGTAGGGCGAGAGCGGGCCAAGGGGGGGCTTTGTCGAGGAGGAAGAGGTGTTGGTGTCGTCTGCGCGACTTTTCCCGCCTGCGCCGCCTGCTGCACCTGCCCAACAGACCCTGCCTCACCCGTCTGAGCCTTCTTCAGCATCTTTCCGCCACTCCTGCCCGTGACCAAGAGAGTGATTCCGAGCGAACACAGAAAGATGGTGATGGCCTTCTTCTGTTCTTGCGGGGTGAGCGAGTCCCACAGGCCCTCCTTGGGCGCTCGTGGAGGGTCCTGCGAGGCCATTTGAGCGGTTTGCGTGTGAGCGAGCGTCGACTCGCAGCGAGAGGAGCGAGGACGACCGGTTTGGCCTTGTCATCCACGGCAATTCGCTCAGATCGGGTTGCTGAGGGGCTTGCTGTGCCTAGAAGACTGCTAGAATGCTTCTTACGTTCTGGCGCGCCTTCCGCCGCCGCTGTCACGAAGGCCCAATCCTCATCGCTCCCGACTTTCGAAAGGTCTTACAGCGGTGCACCCACCTTGTGCTGGGTCTTTGGGCGCTCAGTAGGCTTGTTGCACCGCGTGAAGCTCAGCGGCGACTAGCCGTTCGCTTCCAAGGAGTCCGCGGACTCTCCTTCGCGCTCAGCTCGCGTCTCCTCCCTTCTCCAGCTTTCTGCGCCCTTTCGACGACTCTTCCTACTGTCGAGCACACTAAACGATGCTGCTGTCTCGCCCTGGAGCCGCTACGCTCGCCCTGGCTGCCCTCGCAGCCGCGCAAACGACCATTCCCTCGGCGAGTTCTGCCTCCTTAAACTCCACCTCTCCAGCAGACTCGACCGTCGTCCTCACGAGGACCAGCACGGGCACGAGTACGATAACCAGCACCAGCAGCGTATTGAGCACCGTCGTCTCGGCCTCGTCGACGTCCGCCAGTTCGAGCGCTTTTCCTTCGCCGACGGCGAATGTCACCACCGGCTCGGACCAAACGTTGAGGCTTTGGCAGCCGAAGGGTGGATTGGTGATGTGCCAGAGGGCGGAGTTTGCGTGCGGCTGGATTGAGGGGCGACGGGAAGCATCGCAAGCTGACGAAACTCTCGCAGGTTTACCGGTCCAGCAGTGCCGAAGACGGTGAGCACAGTCTTTGGCGACCCAGTCGAGCCGAGGCTGACGATGTTCTGTCTCGCAGTGCGGCGTCTACGTGACCAGTACGGCCTTCTCATACTCCGCAAGACTGTCTTCTCACGCCTCGCTCCGCAGACTCGTCCACCTACCTCCAACAAATCCCTCTCGGAGGCGCCGTTACCTCTTACACCGCTGGCACCTTTTCGTGGCTCGTCGACGTCCCGGCCGGCTTGTCGCTCGACATCCAGATCTGTCAGTACACGCGAAGGGCTCGTTTCGTCCGCCCGACTAATCCGTTATGTCTATGTAGGGGTCACGCTGAACGGCCAGGTCAACCAAGTGACAATCCACGGTCTCGTCGTCCAGGAGAGTGGCGACAACACCTGCCTGGCAACCGGGCCAGGTGCGCACCTCTGCCTGCGCAACTATCGAGATGCGCGGGCTCATCACCTTTCCTCCGCAGGCCAGAACACGCAAAGCATCATCTCGTACGCCTCGACACTCAACAGCTCGTACACCTGGCAGCCGCAAGTCTCGCTTGTTTTGGGTTCCCTGAACTGCTGCTCACCTTTGCGAGCTCGCAGGCCTAGCGCCACCGCTACCTCGTCAGGCGGCAAGGGCACGAACGTCGGAGGTGAGAACTTGTGAGTTTAGCTAGCGCGACGAGTCTGACGACAGGTTTCGCAGGCATCGCAGGCGGAGTCGTCGGCGGCGTACTCGGACTCGCCCTTCTCGCGCTTGTCACAGTCTGGTTCCTACGCCGTCGCCACGCTCGTCACCTCGACGAGTACCCTCTCGCGGAGCACGAAAAGCAATACAGTGACGCGTTCGGTCCGAACGGCGACTTGACGAGCGCGCAAATGGTTGCGATGGGATACCAGGGACAGCCTATGCCCTCGCCTGGAGGGGTCGTGCCGTACCAGCCGGCGACACCCAGCATGCTCGCCGAGCCAGTGAGTTGCAGCGTCCTTGACCTTGGCAAGAAGGTTGACGAATCGACCTTCGCAGATGTCTTCGAGTACCCCTCCGCCAGCTTTGGGCGCCGACTTTGGCTCTCCGCGCTCGCCAGCAGTGACGCAAGGTACGGCAGGTCTCGACGACCCCGCTACTTTCCTCGCGAGGAGTACGAGGGGAAGGTGAAGAGGGTCTTTCGGCGATTAGTACTTCTCTCCCGCTCCTTGTTTCTCTATCGCGTACAAAAGCAATGGACTTGTGTTATCCCAGACGTGCTCCTGTGTTTGCCAGACGTGCTCGAGGTGAGGTGAGAGACGTCTACCACGGCCAGTAGACCCATCGCTCCGGTTCCTTGACCTCCTCAAGGCGCTGTGAAGTCCGCTCAAGTGTCAAGACTTGTCGCCAAACAAGAGAGACGTTTGACATACCTCGACGATGACCCACTTCCTCCGCACCTTCTGCCTCGGCCTTTCGACCGTCGCCTCATCCTCCTCGTCAGCCTCGGCGTGATCCTCCGAGATCCGCCTCGACGATCCGTACCCTCCGTACCAGCTCTGCGTCATGCGCTCCTCATCGGCTCGTGGATCGTGAAGGAGCGGTGTCGACTCGCTCGGGCCTGCTTCGTCCGAGTAGGTCCGGCGGATCGGTGGTCCTCCCTCGTCCGTCATGCGCTCGACTGCGGCAGACGACGACCAGCTCCTACCGAGCCATAAGCGCTGCGGCACCTCGCTCATGGTCCTCTCCCCGCCTCGCTCTTCCGCGTCGAGCATGTCCCGGACAGCCTTGTCCTTCCGTCTCGCCTTCCTCAGCCTCTTCCGCTCGTCCGCTTCGACGCGATCCAACCGCTGCATCAACCCAACTCCCGTCTCTTCCTCGCTCTCGTCCGCCCACGAATCGCCGTTTGGACGCGAGTCGGATGAAAGCGAGACGAGCGAGTCGAGCGGACGGCGGAGCCAGTACCCGCTTGGTGCAGGTGCAGAGGATGGACCGTACGGTGATGAGCTAGCGTCGGTGGCGCCGTAGTCAGATTGCGTTCGGCGATGACGGCGGGCGACTCGTACTGGAGCGGTCTTGGGTGGGGGAGCGGGCGGTTCTTGAGGCGGAGGAGCAGGCGCCTTGGGCGCGAGCTGGACTGGCGGGACGGCTTTTGGCGGGGCGGTGCGCCGCGTGGAGAGTGCAGGGCGCGAGGCGGCTGTCGAGACTGGGATGCGAAGGTCGTCCTGCGAGGCGGACGGGAGAGGGACTGAGTCTTGTCGGCGTACAGACGGTGGCGCAGCGGGCGGAGCGGGCTCGACGACGATGAGGGCGAACTCTTCGCGTACGAGGATCTTTGGCCGTCGGCAGAGTTCGACAGGACCTGCGAAGGCGGCGGCGGCGTAAGCAGGCGCTTCGGCGCGAAGAGAAATGCGCACGCACCTTCATCCTCACTCTTCAAGCTCTCCACCAGATTCCACCCCTGCCCCTTGACGACCGCCCACTGCCTCTGCCAGACGTCCTCCCTGAACGTCTTGTCCCGCTTAAACTCGCTCCGCAGCTCTCGCCGCAAGTCTCGCCACCACTCGGGGTCCGACAGCTTCGGCAAGAACGCCTTGCGAGTCGAGGCGGACCATGGCTGGCCGATGAGCGAGAGCGGGAGGTTAAGCCAGCCGTACAGGAAAGTCCGCCAGCCGAGCGGGTGTTGGTGAGGGAAGGCGAGCGAGTTGTCAATTGCGGCGAGGTGGAAGTGCGGATGTGGAGGATGGCCTTCGCTCGTGTCGTAGCAGACGCGGGCCATGAAGTTGTCGAGACCGCGGTCGCTGCGGGGGGGAGTCGTCAATACGTGGCGCGCTCGAATGGGAAAAAAGGAGGGACGCACGTATTGCGGATCAAGAAGTCGAGTATGACGAGCTTCTCAAGCTCGTGTCGGAACCTCGCCACCATGTCCTCGGACCACTCAAAACCGTCCACTTCGCGCGAAAGCGTCATCGCGCCATGCGCTATCGGCTCTCCCTCCGCTGCTTCTCCCGCTTCGCTCTGCTCGCCAGTCGCACTATTCTCCTTCTCCGCCTCCGCCATCCCGCACATCCAGAGACAGGTCGCCATGACCCATCCTCGCCGGCGTCGGTCCTTCCGTATTAGTGGACCGGGTGCATTCGTCGACGGGGCATCGACAACGTTGGAGGTGTAGGGGTAAAGTGACGAGAAAAGTGAAGGTCGGCTAGGGAACGGGTGATCGTAGAGAAAGTCGGAGACGTCTGCGAAAGAAACGCTTCCCGTCAGAAGGCGTATTCATCGACTTACATCCTCCAAGGCTCACAGCCTCTGTTCAGCATAGCAGGAAAGAAGCGAAAGGCGGAACTCACCCTTGAAGCCCTTGAGGAACACCTGAAAGCTCCCCTCCTTCTCCCTCAGCCCCGCACCCCTCTTCGCCTTCTTCCGGTCAATCCAATCGTAGTAGAACGCCGGGCTCGACAGTGCGACCACTTCGGTGCGAGGGACAATGTTGGTACCGAGGTGCCGGTCGAGGATCGAGGCGGCGGATTCGGACAGGTAGGATTGGCGCGGGACGAGACAGGCGCGACCGAACGGGATCACGCGCGACAGGAAGTTTCGGTGGATCCACTGTGTAGCTCATCGGACAGCCACTATCAGCAACCTCCCAAGCAGACAGCCGGTTGAGGACCGAAAGCGTCACTGCGAACGCACCTTGACCATCTTCGGATTCAACGTCCCGTACGGCTCCTCATCCGCCGGCTTGAACACGCCAACCGTCTCCCCCGTCGGCGCGCGAGCGAAGTACGACCCTGACGACCCTTTGGCGTTCAGGCAAGGGTGCGTGCCTTGTGAGATCGCGAGCCGGACGGAGGAGACGAGTCTGTGGGCGGCGAGCAGATCAGACTCGCCTGGTCTTCGCCTACAAGATCAGCAGAGTAAGACTCACTGGTCAAAGTCCTCATGGCTCATCGGCGGCCCATGTCCTATCCCCAGCCCAACCTCTTCCTCCTGATCCCGCCCTTTCTCCCCTTCCTCCTTTCCCTCTCCAGCCTCGGGACGGAGAGGCTCAAACACACTCCTCCAAACATCCATCTCCTCGTCCTTATCCAGCGGCGGATCCTCCTCCTCCTCCTCGTCTCCACTCCGTCTTCCGTTCGACACAGAGCTCGACCCAAATCGCGCTGAAACAGCGGTCGTCCAGCGGTGGAAAAGTGCGTCGACTTGGGAAGCTGTAGAGGGGGTTATGCGGCGCTGGGAGGGGCTGGGAGAGGCGGGAGGGCGAGAGGGAGGGGGCTGTGCGGGTTCGACAAGTGCGTGAGGGGCGGAGGGAGGGATGGGAGGAAAGGAGGGCGGGGTGGTCGTCTGTGTGCTGTCGTTGAGAGCATCGGGATGGGCGCCTGGCATCCTGCGAGGCGTGCGGGCCGAGAAAGAGCGGCTTGAGAACTCGCGAACTGATGAAGACGCTTGGCGAGATAGAGCGGTCAGGGGCGTGTTGAAGCTGTATGAGCAGGAGGCTGAGGTCTGCAGACGGCGCTTTCGAGCAGCGCAAGCAAGAACGACGTCGACGCAAGCCAAGTGAAGCGTGAAAGAGAGCCTTTGCCTCTTCGCTCGAAATGACGACACCAAACCTGCCTCGTTGAGCGTCGCTTGGCTTGTTCGACGTCTGTCTAGAGCCAGGGATACCGTCTGGAAGCGTGCGAGAGCAGGGGTGGTCGAGCTGAGGGCGAGAGAAGCCGCGCGAGAGAGGAGAGGATGAGAAAAAGCGGGACTCGGGAGAGGCCGTGCGTCAGATGAAGGGTATCTAAGTAGTCAAGACGTTGCAAAGGGCGAGAGCTAGGAACGAGGGAGGGAGGCCCGGCGAGGAGGGAGAAGAATGAGGAGAAGGAGTGTATGGTTGACAACGAGCAGAAAAGGCGAAGAGGAAGCACATACACGATAGAAATGGGAAGAAGAATAAGACGCCAAGCGAGCCCCGAGAGAAGAGAGAGTGTATGATGAGAAAGAGCAAGCAAGTAGTGTCCGTCGTCGCGTCCGTCCTTCCATCCGGCTGCAGCTGCACCTCATACTGGAGCGCCCCTCAGACGAGCATCATCCCTCCCGCGACAACCGCCAACGCTCCCACGACCTTTCCAACCGCAAACCCGGCCTTCTTCTGCGCCGAGTTGGCAAACGCGCTCGTGCCCTTCGACTGAGTCGGGAACGGCACGTTCGCGTTCGTCAACTGGAGAGTGACGACCTTCTCGCCCGTCTGCGACGAGGCGGATGCTCCAGATGGGAGACTGGACGACGAGGTCACGGTCGAGAAGGTGAGCGAGACCGAGGTGATGGGCGGGATCGAGACACTGTAGGTTCGTTGCGTCGTCGTGCCGGCTGCTGCTGCGGCGGCGGTGGTCCGGGCGGCGGTAGAGGTCGTCGACGTCGACGAGAGGCTGACAGCGTTGCCCGCGGTCGCGCAGTAGTTGGTCAGGTCTGCGTGGAAGTGCGAGCGTCAGTCCGATCTGCTCGCTTCAGGAAAGGCACCCTCGCGCGTTCTGCGCCCGAGTAGGAGCATGGAGTCGCGCGACTGACCGGTGGGAGCGTTCGTCGCCGTCGCCGCGTTGGTCGCGTCGTTTTCGGCCGTCAAAGACGTCTGCAAGCACGCGGCGCAGGTCTGGAAGTTGCTGACAAACGTCGCGTCACAGACGCAGGTCGCGTAGGTCGCGGCGGCTGCGGCGGGGCAGGTCTGTTTCCGACAAGAAGAACGGGGTGAGTTTCGGGGTCAAAAGCTGGGGGCGAGGACGTGGCCGCACCCCGAGGGTCGAGAGCCACGCTTGGCACTGCGTGTTGCAGGTGGTCGGGATGAGTGTCGCGAGCGTGAGCTGCTCCTGGCTGATCTGGGCGGCGGTCTGCGCGAGAGCGAGCGAGGCGAAGAGCGAGGTGCCGACGAGGACGCGGAGGGGAGTGAAGCGGGCCATCGTGGGTGTCGTGGGACGTGCTGGCGTCTATGGGAAGGTGGCCTGGGCCTGCTTGTGGGAGAGTGCGAGGGTGATGGAGGTGCCGAAGTCGGAGGCCTGCGATCGAACGGCGGCACGGTGGCAAGATGAGCGCGTGCGGGTCAGCCAGCGATCTTGCACAGTCTCTCAGATACGGCCCCGCCCTGTCCCGCCGTCCCTGCGCGCGTGTGTGGCGTGTGGGAGCGTACGAGTCGAGCGAGGAGGAGCGGTGCGTCCGGGTGTCGTCGCCGTGCGCGGGCGGGTTCGCTGATCGCGCAAGACTCACGTGTGTAGCTCAGCAGTCCCTCGTGAGCAGTCCACAGGCAGGCAGGCGCGCGAGCAGGCGTTGTTTGCTGAGAGAGGACGAGCGAGGCGAGCTGCGACGGCGACACCCTCGCAAAAGTCGCGCTGAGCGTGTTTGCGAGTGTGCAGTAAATCGTTCAAAGCTGTCAAACACTACTTGCACGCATCGCCGCCCTCGCTCGTTGTTGTTTCGAGGTCGCTTCTGCGCGTCGCGTTCATCGCTCGTCTCGCTCGACAACCTCGCCTGCTCGCTGGAACTCGTTGCTCCCTGTACTGGGACTGCTCAGAGACTGCATCCGAGTCGACCCGCGTCGCCGCCCAGTCCACCGCTTGTCCCGTCGCCTCAGCCCCACTCACTTCCCTCGCCTCGAAGCGACTCGTTTCGTCCCGCCCGCTCGCTGGACTGCTCAGACGCGACTCGAGCGACGCAGGATGCACATCATCAAGCCGTCCTGGGTCTCGCACCCGGACGAGACGCGCCCGACCAAGCCAGACCTCACCATCTTCTCCCTCGACGTCCATCCGGACAACTCGCGCCTCGCGACCGGAGGACTCGACTCGATCGTGCGTATCTGGTCGACGGTGCCCATTCTCAATGAGCAGGCGGAGAAGGACGACGAGCGGTGTCCAAAGTTGCTGTCGACCCTCACGGCTCACACCGGTGCGTTCGCTTCCACTGCCATACAAGTCTCGAAGCTGACTTTGCGTTGTCCCTCAGGCGTCATCATGTCTGTGAGGTGGAACAACGCAGGCGGGTACCTCGCTTCGGGCTCGGACGACCGCGTCGTCATGATCTGGGCGCACGACGGGTGCGTCTCAACACCTCTCCTTGGCCAGCCGGACGCCTTCCGAACAAAGACTGACATTGCGGATGCCTGTCGACGCACAGCGGCAAGGGAGGCAAGGTCTGGGGGACGGAGACGACCAACGTCGAGAACTGGAAGGCCACGAGGCGGTTGGTCGGCCACAACTCGGGTGCGTTCGCCGGCAGCGCTCGTCTCGCTCTTCTCCAGCGCGGAGAGATGGCTGACTTCAGATCCTGGCTGGCTTCGCACAGACGTCGCTGGCGTGGCATGGAGCCCGGACGACGCCTACGTCGCTTCTGTTGGTCTCGACAACATCGTCCTCGTCTGGTCCGGCCAGAACTTTGGTGCGTCCCCTCAAGCCTCTCTTCCGTCTCTCTGCGGCCGCTCAACTCACACCCGGTCGCGCAGAACTCGTCCGCAAACTCGACGCCCACGCCGGCTTCGTCAAAGGCCTCGTCTTCGACCCCGTCGGCCAGTTCCTCGCGACTCAGGCGGACGACAACTCGCTCAAGGTGTGGCGGACGGACGACTGGGCGCTTCAGGCGGATATCACGGACCCTTTTGTCGATGCGCCCAAGGCGACCGTTGTAAGGCCGACGTGAGTCCTGGCCGCGAAGGTTTCCGTCGACAAAGCCTTTCCGGGACGTCGCTGACGGTGCTGCTGTTCGACCAAACTCGCAGCTGGTCGCCCGACGGCGCGCACATCGTCACGCCCAACTCGATGAACGGACCCGTCTTTTGCGCCGCCGTCATCCAACGCACGACCTGGCTCTCGCCCGCCTCGCTCATCGGCCACCCGGACATCGTCCAAGCAGCGTCCTATAACCCCCTCATCTTCCTCCGCGACCCGTCGAAACCGCCCGACATGTCAAACGTCTGCTCGCTCCTTGCACTCTGCGCGCAGGGGACCGTCTCGCTCTGGTTCACGGATACCTCCCAGCCGTTCGTCGTCGTCAACGACTTGTTTGACCGCGAGGCACTCGATTTGAGCTGGAGCAGGGACGGGAAACAGCTTTGGGCGAGCAGCTCGGATGGACAGGTCGCGGTCCTTACGTTCGATTATGGCGAGTTTGCGCCGGTCGCGCCGGAGGGGACGAAGGCGGCGCTGCATGCGACGTACGGGTATACGCCGTCACGGGCGAGGTTGGTGGCTGCGCCGGCAGTCGTTGCGAACGGGATTGGGGCGGCTGGAGGAGCAGCCACGCCTGGAGGACCGGCTGGAGGGACGCTTGCGCAGCCCAACACGCTTGTCGCGCGCAAAGGACCTGGCGCCAAGCGTCCTCGCACCGTGCAGCTCTCGACGCAGCCTCTTCCCGCTCAGCAGCAGCCTGTCGCATCAACCTCCGCAGCGGCGTTCGCGAGTGCTCCGACGTTGCCTGGAAGTGCGGCGTCGGCGTTCCAGCAGGCAGCGGCTCAACAGCCTGTCCCGCAGCAGATGTTTGGCGCGCCACCCCCTCCCGCAGCCGCCTCGACCTCTCGCAAGCGCAAGGCGTCGAACGTCCCAGTCGAAGGCGGACCGACCGCTGCTCCTCCTCCCGGCGCATACCCCCACCCGTACCCGTACCTCGCCGAAGCTCCGCCTCCTCAAATCCCAGGCTACGGTTCCGCCCCTCGCCTCTCCTCCGCCCCGTACCGCCTCGCAGGCCACACCCTCCGCGGCGACCCCGCTCCACCAGACGAAGAGCTGCGCGAACTCGTACCCGCTTATGCGCTGTACGATCGCGAGGTCACCTTCCGCGTGACGAATCGTCGGCGCGCAGAAGGTGGGAGGAAGAGGTTGGCGGTCCCGCAGGTCGTCACGTTTGGCAAGGTGGCGCTCGAGGACTCGGACGCGAAGGATACGCTCGAGTATAGGAACTTTGCCCAGGGCGATCGTGAGTGGAGCCTCGTGCTTTCGGTTGTTCTCTCCGCTCGAGGGCAGATGAAGCTGATAGGTACTCGGGTGCATCATCGCAGGCAAAGGCGAAGCTGAAATCACGGTCGTCACGAGCAAGAAGCCGCTCTGGACCGACTACGTGCCGAAGTATGTCGTCAACGCGACGGGCAGCCCGGTTTTCTCGGCCGTTTCGCTCGAGGATGGGTCGATGGTCGCGTGGAGTCCGACGGGAAGGCGGTGCGTGACGGTCCTCACGATGCCTAGCGTTTGCTTCGGAAGCTGACAACGCGCTGTCTCGTCCTCGGATCCTCGCGCAGGCTGATACCGACCCTTGTCCTCGACGCGCCTTGCTCGTTCCTCACGGCCGAAGGATCGTACCTCATGGCCATCACCGCGCTCGGCACGCTCACCGTCTGGAACCTCTCTCCCTCGATCCCGAAACCCCGCTCGATCTACCCACCTCTGAACATCTCGTCCCTCCTCGCCTCTTCCGCGACTCGCATCCACCCCGATCCCGCCATCACGACTTCGGCCCTCCTCCCGAACGGCTCGCCTCTCCTCGCTCTCGACTCGGGCGCGACGTTCTCGTACGACGCCGACCTCGCGGCCTGGACTCGCGTCAGCGAGGCCTGGTGGAGCAAGGCGGATACGTGGGAAGGACGGAGAGGACGGCATAGTGCGCCTGGAGGTGCGGCGGGACGCGGAATTGTCAAGAAAATCGAGGCCGCCGTCAATGAGATTGTCGTCGACGACCAGCAGGTCGAGCAGGACGAGACGACCGATGAGGAGGATGCGGACGAGGGCAAGAAGGCGGACGGGGATGTCGAGATGAATGGCGGCTCGGCAGACAAGGGCAAGGGCAAAGCGGTTGAGGGCGAAGACGAATCGGACGACGACGAGCCGCGACCGCCGAAGCGCACCGTCCCTCAGGGCTCTCCGACGGAACCGCAAGGCGGCGCAGGCGACTTCCGCATCGCCGTCACGCTCGCCCACCTCGAGACGCGCATCAAGGCCGCGCAGGCGCTCGATTCGCCCGCGGAGTACCGCAACTTCCTCCTCGCCTACGCCAAGCGCCTCGCCGACGAGGGCCTGCGGAGCAAGGCGGAGGAGCTCATCAAAGAGCTGCTCGGGCCGATCTACCAGTGCGTTGCGGGTTCATCTCTTCGCTGAAAACGTTGCGAGCTGACGTGGGAGCGTCCCGCAGCAATCCGAACAGAAAGGAGGAGGAGTGGTCGCCCACCGTGCTCGGCTTGCAGAAACGCGATCTCCTGCGGGAGGTCTTGCGCGAGTTGGGTGAGCCGCACGCGTCGCCTCTTTTCTTCACTCGCTGACTCGGCTTTCGCTCCCGCAGCCAAGCAGAGAACGACGACTCCGCTCGCGAACGAGTACCAGGACCTGCTGAAGAAGGTACAGACCGCATGAGACTAGCTTCCACGCTCTCGCAACCGCATGCTCGTTTAGCCTACGCACTTTCGCAACCGTATGCTCGCATTGTTGTAATGCTCTCATCCGCGAATGACGACTCGAACTGCGAGAATGCGGGGATGCGAGTTGCGACATGCGAGGGATGCGGAAAATTGAGCTCTAGGTGAGAGCGACGCCGCGCAAGAAAGCGAGCGTGCCGAGGTTGTAGTGCGTCAAGTCGATCAGCCGTTCCGCCTCCTTCTTCTGCTGCTCGGCGATCGCTTCGAGCGGGCCCTTCGTCTCGGGGTTCGCAATGAGGATGTCGCCGTGGATGCGGAGGAAGACGGCGAGGAAGGTCTGACAGGCTTCGAAGTCGCGGTGAGAGCGGAGGCGGGCGAGGAGAGCGTGGAGGAAGGCTTCGAGGTGCGGGATCGACGAGAGCGAGCGGATCTCGAGGTCGACGTTCGAGGGCGAGAGAGCCTTGAGGTACTCGAAGAAGGCTTGGTCTGCGGGACGAGAGGGGTCAGCGTCATCTCGCATGCGTCGGTAAAACGACACGCACAGTTGCCGTCCTTCTTCTCGCTCAGTAGCCGCCGCACAAAGTCCGTCTCGACCGATGCGCCGACAGCAAAGTCGAGCTTGCGCTTCTGCGCAGCGTCGTCCTTCTTTTCTTTCGCCGCTCCGTTTGGCGCCGACATGCCAAAGTCGAACCGGTGATCCACGCCTGGCAGAGTCGGGAGGAAGAATGGCGCCCGCTCGGGCGCTTTGGGCGCCTCCTTAGGCTTGTTGCGCGCCTTGATCGTGTCGAGATTGAGGAGCGTCTGCCATCGGGAGCGGGGCATGAGAGAGAGGGTGAGGAGCGAGTCGGCGAGCTGGTCGGGCGTCGTGTACGGCTGGATGTCTTCCCATCGACTCGGCGCTGAGATGGCGGACAGTGCTGCGATTGGAAGCGAGTCAGCGAGAGGACACTTGCAGGAGAGACTGGAGAACGCACAGGCATCGGCATCGACGCCTTGAACTGTCGGCAGAGCGACGTCTTCGAGCGTCTCCTCCTCGACGAACGACAGAAGCGAGACATCCGAGAACTGCGCTCGGTTAGCCCACAGGTAGATGCCGACACTGTCGACGTGCGTCGAGGCGAGGAAGTCGCCGGTTGGCGAGAACGTCAAGCTGGTCGCGACCGTCTTGGTCCGGAAGGCATCGACGAGTTGGCCCGTCGGGATGTCGAAGGTCCGGATGACCGAGTCCTGCGAGGTCGTGATGATCCACCGCGAGTCGGGCGAGAAGGCCTGTCGAGCGAGAGGGTCAGCCCCAGCGGCGCTTGCTTGGAAGGGATGGAACTCACGATGTCGAGAATGCGCCCTCGCGGACCGCTGAGCTCACGCACGACTCGCCGCGTCTCGATGTCGACGATGCGAACGACGAGGTCGTCGCAGACCGCAGCGAGCAGGCCGTTGTCCCGTTGGAGGAGGATCGAGGTGACGGACGCCTTCAGCGTCAAGGTCGACATGAGCTTCATCGTCTGGAAGTCGAAGAACTGCACGGCGGAAAAGGTCAGGACGTGATCAAGCTTGACGAAAGAACGGTAGAACGCACATGCAGGGCGCCCTTGAGCGTCGAGACGACCACGCAGCGATTCAGCGCATCGACCGCCAACCCCGTCACATGCCGCCCCCGCACGTCCGTCACTCCGGCATTCGGCACCTTGAAGACCTTGCGCTTCATGCCCGACTGCATGTTGAACATCTGGACGTCGCCCGCCTGCGAGCCGACGAGACTAAAGTTGCCGCACGCCGTGACAGCCGAGACGGTCGCCTTTCCGCCCGTCGCGAACGTCCACTTGCCGAGTCGCTTGTTCTCGACGCTCCAAGACCGACCGAGCGACTCATCGGCGGAGACAGAGACGACGTCGTCCCAGTCCCGGGCGCGAGCGGTCGAGTAGGCGAGCGAGGTGATGAGCGGGAGCTTGAGGGAGGAAGGGCGGACGTCTAGCCGGGTAGCCTTGCGGGCGATCGAGCCTGGCGAGGGAGTCTTTCAGCGGGAGTCAACAAGAACGAGCAAGGAAAGTCCGACGCACCTTGTGACAGCTCATAACCTCGCGAGTCCCGCACAACGCTGGTATAGCGCAGCGAGCGGTCTGCGCCGGCCGTCAAAAGCGACTTGCCGTCGTCGCCGTAGTACCGAACGAAATGAGGAGGGGCGTGGTGGCCGGACCGTTGCTTGAGCAGGCGAGGCGCGGCAGTGGGCGTGTCGAGGAGCCATTGCTGCGGGAGAATGAAGGTGAGCTTGCATTACGCTGGAGGGAACGACGCGTGCGCACCTTAACCGAGTTGTCTCCGCCACTCGTGATCATCAACGGCTGTCCCGGTACCCACTCAAGTCCACCGACAGGTCCCTCGTGCGCATTCCGGACGAGGTGCAATAGCTTCATCTCGTTGCCGAGATCGAAGAGGGCAACATGTCCCGACGTCGAGGCGACCGCAAGCGTTTGCGCCTCGTTGTCTGTCCGGAAAGACAGCGCCGCAACTTCGCCCGCTCCTTCGCCTTCGAGGCGGACCTTGCCGAGCACTTCGCCAAGGCGGACGTCGAAGAGGATGCAGGCGCCGCTCGCCAAGCCGACGCCAAGGACGTCGATGGCGGGAGACTGGGAGAGAGAGGTGACTGCAGAGGCGGGATGCGAGCCGGCGAGAGTCGAGAAGGGGAAGGTGTGGATGCAGGAGCTGTGCGGGGAGACGGGTCAGGATAGCTCTCCGACTGGAAGGGGACGCGACACACCCTGTTCGGACGTTCCACACTGCCACCTCGCCCTCCTTGCTGCTAACAACCACCTTGTTCAGGTAGCTCGCCGGGTGAAGCACCTTGGTCGCCGTGAAGCCCATCGGGAACTCGAGGGTCGCGTAGGGTGTGACGGTACGGTCGTCGTGCTCCTCGTCCGTCTCGCTTCCAGCGACGTCTTCGTCCTCCTCTCCCTCCTTCGCAAGCGGGTCCTTCGAGGCGGGCTTGACGTAGGGCGGGACGTCCCAGACGAACATTCGCCGCCCGGTCGACGAGAGTGCGATCAGAGTGTTGCCGAAGAGAACGAGGTTGTCGAGAGATTCGGGTATCGGCGAAAGAGAGTCGTCTTCGTCGTCGGAATCCGAGTCGCTGGAGGAGGAGGAAGAAGAGGAGCTGGCGGAGGAGGACGAGGAGTCGCTCGAGTCGCTGTCGCTGTCGTACACCCCGTTTGTCCTCTCGCCGCCCGTAACGAACCGCCCGACCTCCTTGCCCCTCACGAATCGCCCAACCATGTCCCCTGCGGCCGCAAAGACGCTTTCGTTCAACACGGCCATACTCGTGATCGGCTTGCCCATGTCGGGGCCTGCATTGAGCAACGACTGTCAGTCTCACTACGAGCGCACACTGGCCGGGAGAGGAGCGCGACGCACCGACGAAGAGCAACCGCATCGACTGACCCTCCCACATGGCCCAGCTCGCTCCAAGGCTGGTGATGACGGTGAGAGCTGGTTGCTGGAGGTGCTTGCTCGCCCTCGACTGGAGCACGAATGGCACGCCCGTGCTGACATGGCCGAGCGAGCGGAACGGCGCGAACAGCGGCTCGCGCTTGGGTCTGGCGGGAGTGGCGGCACTGGCGGGTTGCTGCTGGACGCGAGCACGCTTTGTAGGCCTGCTCATGCTGTCAAGCGAGCCCTGGAAGCTGAAGCGAGCGAGAGTGACTGAGTGCGGCGGTGAAGCGATCAAGTCCAAGTGCTCGAGCTCATCAACGGATCGCAACTCTCGTAGAACAGCGTCGTGGGGCGTGTGGATGGCTCATACGGTACGAGTTACACAAACTGCGACTACTGGGGACTGCGCGAGAGGCGGGCGGACGAGAGGAGAGGCGGACGAGCGGGTCTCTCGTGGATTCAGTCGCCAATGGGTGAGCTGCGGGAGGCGAGTGCGATCGTGAGCGACTGGTTATTCAACTAGACGAGGCTGGCAAATGTACGGCTCGTCGACGAGAAACGGCCGACTCACCCGTTCGACTCGTCCCCGATCCCGTCGAGCAGCGAGAAGCTCTTCTGGAGGATGCACTCGCCGCCGTTCTCGAGGTCGATAGCGTACGAGTAGAAGACGCCTTCGCTCGTGACGACCATGACTTGCGGCGAGGAGCTGTGCGCCGATGGCGGGCGAATATCCCGTCAGTTCGTCCGCGAGCCTGGAAGGATCTGACGTTGACCGGTACGCACCCAGACAGCGCGACGACACTCTTGACGCCCGAGGTAGGGATCTTGAGGTACGCAAAGTCGCGCTGAGGGTCCCAGATGCCGGTGACGGCGCCAGGGAGGAGCCCGCCGACCGAGCCTGCGATGCCGCGGCCGAACGAAAGCGACTTGCGCCGGAGGGTGCCACTGCGAGAAAGGAAGCGCGTCAGTGGTGGGACTCCCGGGAGAAGCGACATGAGCTAGCTCAGGAAACGCCGCAAGCCGCAAGATCGGGCCAAGTCCGACTCACCCAACGCCCTGGTTCGCATTTCGCTTGCTGTCGATAAGCGCATCGTACGCTCCCGCACCGCCCTGCTCGCCGCCGCCAATCATCCCGCCATTCCGCCCGTTCCCGCTGCCGAACCTGTCGTGCTCCTCCCAATCCGGCCCGCTCGCCCCTCGCCCACTCGCGCCCTGCGATCCACTCTTCCCGCCCTTCGAGCCCGAGATGAGCTTGAAGATGTGCACCGTCTCGGTATCCGAGCTGACGCACAGCAGCGTCGACGCGGCATTGAACGAGATGCTGTAGATCTTGGCCGGGTAGCTGCCCCGCCGGAACTCGTGCACCTTGTCGCCGTTCGGGAGGGAGAAGACGCGAATAACAGTGCCTTTGTCTGAGGCGGTCGCGAGGAGCGTGCCGGTCGCGTTGAGCGCGACGAACGCGACGGGCGACTTGTGCGCCTGGATGATGTTGGTCACCGAGAGCGAGACGGCGTCAAAGAGCAGGACGTCGCCGGACGAGTTGGCTGCCGCGCCGGCCGAGGGAGAGGGAGGTGCGCCGGAGAAGGGTGTGGCGGGTGAAGGGAGAGGCGAGGGGTAGGCCAGGTAGCTGTTTTCGGACGAGGGAGCGAGGGCACAAATGGCTGCCGGCGATTGCGTGGTTAGCTCAGTTCTACCCGGCACATTGGTGGACGTGCGACGTACCGTTGGGATTCGGGCTCGTCTCGATCTCGTGCAGGAGCTTCATGTTGCTGATGTCGTAGACATAGATTCGCTCTTCAAGCACGACGACGAGCCGTCTTCGGTTCAGCTTGACGGCGAGGATCGTGGTAGGGAAGGTGAGCTCGCAGATGGTCGATTGTCGCTGCGGGCAGAAGTGTGAGCCAGCTTGGCGGATGAGCCTGTCGTGAAAGGAACGCACCTTGGTGTTGACGATCTGTAGCCGGCGTGTACTCGATGCTGGTCGGTCTCCTGCTCCCACAAGTGCGACGAGCGATGTGCAGAACAGCATTTCGACGATCGAAGTCGCGCCGTCGCCTGCGGAAAAGAGCGGATTCAGCAAGTCCGTTTCCGCGATGTACGACAGCTGGTCGACCCTCCTGCAGGGGGAAGCGGGTAAGTCGTATGCGAATGCTGGAAGACTCACTCCGCCCATAGACCTTGCCGAACGGATCGCAATTGGTGATCGTGTATCCCTTCCGAGTCCCCGTTGCGATGCATCTGCGAATGCCGAGACCGTAAGTATCAACTGTCTCGCATCGTAGGTGAACTCGCACGAAAGCCGCCCAGGCGTCCGCCAGAACAGGGAAAGCGAAACTCACGTCGAATCCTGGTTGAAGCTGACGCTCAGAAGGTCGGGGTTGCTGCGGATGCCGCCGCGCGCCGCGCTGCGAGAGCTCATGCTGTCGAAAGAGAAGAAGAGTCAGTTGACCGTACCGTGAATGCGCGAACACAAGGCAGCTGCATCCGTGTCGTCGAGACCATCTCGCTATGTCCCCTTGAAATGCCCTCTTCGCCTCCCTCGCAAGTGCCAGACTTCACCCGTACGCTCGACGCCTCGACATCCCGCTCCTACCAATGGCCTGGCCCTCGCGAGGGTCCGTCAACCTCGGCAGTCCAGCTCTACTCGTCGTCCGCGTCCCTCGAGCTCGGCAGCGTTCCTCCGCTTTACCGTGACGCCTGCAGCGTCGCACCACCATCCGCGAGCCGCTCCATGCGCTGCTTCGTCTCGTCATCGTCCCATGCCCGCCCGAACCCTTCATCACAGTGAGTCCGTGACGTCTGCCTCGTACGGCTCGCGCGATACAGTCTCGTCCTCCTGATAGAGTCAGCAACCTGCTCGACGCGCGGCCCGCTGTCCCGTCGCCCTGGCAGCCTGATTACACGCCGGATGTGGTGGGGCGGGACGTACTCGACGTGAACAAGCGCGTGCGGGTCGATGCGAGCGGTCCAGGCGGGTCAGAGACAAAGTAAAGGGAAGCTCGGGCCAGCAAAGAGCGCAGCAGGCGGTGTTGCGTGGTGTGGGAGGAGCGAGAGCGTCGAGGTGAGCGAGAAGGGGTCCTCTCAGCTCGCAGCCGGCTTCTTGGAGAGTCTTGTGACGCCCTGGATGCTATGTAGATGCTAACAGAGCTGTTGACAGCCCTGGTAGCCCACAAGAACGCGTTTGTGGCGCGTTTTCCTCGTTCCCCACCCGCTCTACCTCTCTCGCTTCGTCTTTCCTCGCTCTGCTTGAATTGGCTCGTTCTGAAAACCTTCAAGACGACGTGTCATGTCCTATCCAGGCCAGGCGCACCACCCTCACTCGCCGGGCAACCCTCCCCTCGCCCACCTCATCAACCGTTCGCATCCCGTCGACGAGCAGCATCCCTATGTACCGCCCGGCTTGGAGCTCGTGCAGGCGCACTGGTTTGTCAGGCATGGAGAACGCGCTCGTGAGTTCAGGCTCCGCTGTCTTCGCTGACGGGGATGCTGTTGTCGGATGTCGGGTCAAGAAAGGGGCCGACACGCGCTTCGGGCGAGGCGAGGAGGGTTGCATAACGACGAGGACGACGAAGAGACTGGCTCTCAACCGGACAGAGCCCTCATGGCTGCGCTCGGCGCGAAGAAAGCGCACCTTTGTACCGAATGACTGACCTCCCCTTTATCCCCTGGCTTGCAGCGGTCCGCCAGCGCCTCGTCGGCGTCGGTGACATCCCTCCCGTCTTCTCCCTCTGCTCCGTCGGCCGCGAATTCCGCACCGCCGTCCTCTCCTTCACTCCCTCCGTCTCGCCTTCTGCCCTGGCCGGCGAACCTCCGTCTCCTGCGATCCTGCCGACTGAGGCGACGACGGGCAAGAATGTCGCGGCGGGCACGATGGACGTGCGGCGGCTGACGGAGGATGTCGGGTCGAGCGCGAGAGGGACGCGGGGAGGACCGTCAGATTGGTGAGTGAGCGCGCGAGGCATCGTTCCTCTCCAGCTCTTGATTGTGCGGACCTTGCTGACGGTAGCTTCCGGTTGCAGCTACTGGGGCGAGCTGACAGACCTCGGCCGACGGTCGACCCTCGAACTCGGCGCCCGCCTCCGCTCGCTCTACGTCGACCAGCTCAACTTCCTCCCGCCCAACTTCACCTCCTCCAACTCCTCCGTTGCCTCCTTCCGTTCGACCAATATGCCGCGGACGATCGAGTCGCTGCATCAGATCGTCGAGGGGTTGTGGGGCAAGGAGAAGCGGGAAGAGGGCGCCAAAGTCGAGTACCTCATCCGCGGGTGGCAGGACGAGGACTTGTACCCGAACACGAGCTGCAAGTGCGTCGGATGTTTCCTCGCTTGTGTGCGCAGGGTGACTCTCGCTTGAACGGGATACGCTGACCTGTGACCTTCCTCCTCGCTTCTTGCGACTGCAGGCGGCTTCGCGCGCTCGACTCCGCCTCGATAGCCGCCGCAACGAAGGAACAGGTGCCTGTTCTTGCCGCGCTCGACTCGGTACTCGAGCCCGTTGTCGGAGCGTGCGTTCCGAACCTTTCACTTGTCTTCGCCTTTCTCGCTGACCCAAACGTTCTCGCAGTCCTCTCCGAATCGACTCGTCTCCTCGCGCAAGTGGCGTACTCGACACCGTCCTCGTCTGCCGCGCGCACGGAATCAAGCTGCCGAGGGAGCTCGAAGATCCGAAGACTCTGCGGTTACTCGAGGGCGCGATCTGCCACGAGTGGTGGGTCCCGACTTCTTTCACGGCTGACTCTCGTAGCGATCGCTGACACTTCGAGCACCATTGCAGGTTCGACGGCTACAAGAACCTCGAGTTCCGCAAGCTCGCGATGGGCCGCCTCCTCTCTTCGCTCCGACAGACACTCGAGGCCAAGGCGAACGACCCGCTCGAAAAGGTGGAGAAGACGCGGCTGGCGGTGTACTCGTGCCACGACACCTCGATTGCCGGTATCCTGAACGCCCTCGATGCGTTCGACAACCGGTGGCCGCCTTTCACTTCGCATGTTGCCGTCGGTGCGGATGCTGCATTGCTTGGCCGATACGCTCTAAAGCTGATTCGCCGCTGTCTCGCAGAACTCTTCCGCTCCGCTTCGCCGCCCTCGATCCTCTCCTCCTTCCTCCCGTCCTTCCTCCGCCCTCCTCAGCAGCACTATGTCCGCCTCCGCTTCAACGCCCGCAACCTTCGATTACCTGCCTGCGCGCCCGAAGGCAAGCATCTCCCGGGCTCGAACGGCGAGGTCTGCACATTCGAGGCGTTCAAGGATGCGGTCAGG